CACTTGTGTCACACAGATTAATTAAAAAACTCGAGTTTGATATTTGAACAGCTTCATGGCTATAGTTCTTCCACTGCCTGTTTCCTATATAAAAATATATTAACAAAAAAATACATCATAACCCTTTTTACACCATAGAATTCCGCCAAATTAAGGTGTTTTTTTAATACAAAATTACCGATACAATCCAAGGCTTTCTTGTTCAGTTTGTTTACATTGAGATATTAATTTCAGTATGCTTCATTCTCGAATGGTTTTGTTTCGAGTTTTTTCTGGTCTATTCTAAGATTGGTTTAATGAAGGTATCACAAATAAAAGCCAGTCTCTCAAAGAAACAGCCAATCTCAAAGAAATAAGGAAAATATTTACCTATGGTTTGATATTCAAGAGTAGTTTGATTCATCGCGTTTTTGAGGTCCGGTCTTTGATACTTTTAATATTGACACAAACAAGAAAGAGAGAGAGGAAGAAAAAAATGAGAAAAAGAAAAACAGGAAAAGCATTAAAACAACATTTACGTCAAACTTGATATCTCTTTTTATTTTTATTTCTTTTGTTTTTTCAATTATCATTTCTGAATTAAGAGGCAGAAATATGTGTTCACCTTTTCGTGTTTCTATTCTACATCAAATGTTCACCGACATTTTTTTTTTCTTTTCTTCCTTTCTTCCTTTTTTTATTTCTTTTTTGTCATATACAAAAAACCACGTCTTTTTAAAATCCGCATTTTTCGCTTCATTTCTTTTCTTTTTCGAATTTTTCTTTTGAATATTACCGTGTTTATTTAATAGCGATAATCTTGATCATATTTAGCGCAATTAGTACACCAATTCAAGCTCTCCAGTCCTCAAAGAATAAAGTACATCAACTACTGACGCTTTTCAAAACAGTACTTGGTAGAATATTAATGACATAGAAGTGAGTTCACAGAACTTGAACCATCAGCACAAGTAGAACAATTCCGACAAATGATTACTAAAGCTAGTCGTAAATAACTAATCAGTTAGAATTCATTAATTTTCTTCTTGAAAATAATATAGATGTCAGACAAGAAAATGGCCGTCTCCAAAGATATTCACCAATTTCTTTTAACGCACAATAACCATGGGATTAAYTATAAACCTATTGTGTTACAGTAAGATACGATATGAATTGAACTAATTAAAAGAAAAACTACTTCGAGCTAAAGGTGAAAATATATACATGAGGAATTACTAAAAAACCGCTTATTTATTTTTTGCGAATTTTTCAAACTCGAATGATAGCAAACCTGTAAATAATTTATTATCAACTAATACGTTATTTAAGACTAACAATTGCTTATTACAGAGCCCTTGAAAACCCTTCATTTATTCGAAGTTTACTCTTTTAGTTTTATTAAGTAGCCATAGTTGACAAGAGATTTGCCGAACAGGAATCAAAGAAAAAACGAGAGGTGTCTCTAAGGACACTCCATCTTAGCTCAGATCTAATTATTCTCATATTCACTGCTTATTTACAATGTCACCGTAGTCTATATATCGTTTGATGTTCAACTTTGTTATTAATTGACAAAATCCTTCCTACCACTCGTGCGTCTTCACCAGATCTCTAGTTACTCCTAAATCCTTGTCTCAAAGTCCGAACGTACTTTCTATTTCGTTATATTTGTCATGATCTTTATTCATATTTCTTAGCTTTTTTCTCCATCATTCGATCTGATTACTACATGAATCTCGAATGTTAGGAATAGTGTTATATTACTAAGAATATCTTTGATTTTTTTCTTTCATTAATCTGTAACGTTGCCTCTTCTAACTCAGTTTTCGTAACTTCATTTTTTTCATGTTTCAATTTGCAGCTGCATAAGTTGGTTCATATACTGCGAGGGGATCAGCTCAATTTGATTCTTTCTTCTTTTTTTTTTTCTTTTTTTCTTTTCTTTTTTTTTTTTTCATAATAAAAAATGGAGTAACTGAGCCGCTGACTAACTGGAGTAACTCGAAGGTAGTCTTAGAAAATAAATCTTAATCGTATATAATCTTCGCTTATTTTCCATCCAAATATTTTTCGAAATCATTACATTTTTTTTCTTTTTAAGGTCGTTTTGTTATGCGTTTCTCCAGCCTTTAAGATGTTTAAGGAAATTGATTATCAATGTAGATCATCACTTGCCATAGAAATAAATGAATGAAGATATAAAGTAAACTAGCTTACTTGCGGTCTATGTCATCATCGAACTTGAAATTCTGACCATTAGGACTACAACTGCTATAGAAATGAAATGCACTAGAAAAAGTGCATGTATATTATATATATGTTTATATCTGTATATCTGTATATCTATATGTATACGTGTGGATAAAATCTCATTTGAAGACATTAACGTTTTCTTGGGAGATTAGCTTCTATATTTCATTTTGAATGACTGTTATCAGAGTGAATGACAAGATAGTTGATTTACAAACTAAAGAGTTTCAATATGGCAAAATGATTATGATTTTATACCTATTATACCTGACTAAATTGATCTCAATTGGCAATTTACTGAACCATTGACTTTGCATTATCACAGTTTATAAATACAACGACTGAAGATCTTCGTTCAGGTTCATTTTTAAAACACCGAGTTTTCTTTACAAAATCACCTGAATACTAATCATTTTTTCACCTTATGATATTTCAAGTAAAAATCATTTGTGGTTTTGTAATTTATCTTAAAAATAGCTAGCTGGTTTATCGTAGATAGGAGTCTATTCTAATTGAAATTTGTGTTGATTGGAGTTATGGACTTCCGAAAACAAACACTCAATGTACACACTTGGAGAACTAACAATCACCACTACTCTTATTCATTCGAATATTTACTTTGTTCCGCAAATAAGCTTTATTTTCTTGTTGAGGCAAATAAGCTTTATTTTCTCTTGAGGCATAGATTTTGTTGTCGAAAGCAAGTCTGATGGACTTGCTTTCTCGCGATGCTTAAAATAATGTACCCCCAAAAAGGATTTTTTTTAATATTTATTTTTGGCTGTAATTCTGAGGTCACGTTATTTCATCCTTCTTTAGCACTAAAGCTGTGAAACACACATTATTCTCATGACTTTATCCCAGGTTTTTTCGATTCGAAAATAGAATATTTTGCGGTCCATATTTAAAAAGAGACGTACAAGAGAAAAAAAAGAAATCACGTAATCCAGAATGCTGTTTTCATGGGAAGTACACAAGGTCACACTTAGCGCTTTTAAGATATTCTTACTACGTGCGCAACCACAACACTTTTAAGACTTTAGCTAATCCAATGACATTTCTAGAAACCCTTGTGTTTACTTGAGTCTTGATGGCCCAGTAAGTATGGTGCATTCACTTGCATATATTTGATATCATGTGACCAAAAAGGCGGGAAACGGAACCGCCTGCCTGTTTAGGAGCTTTCTGGCTCACCACGCTGAGTCTAGTATTCGCCACTGAAATTTCAATAAGGAAATGAGATGAAGATTTTTGAAAAGAAAAATTATTAAAAATTGAGTCTGGAAAAATTGATATTGTTATAAAGACTCTCCTTGTACAACTAAGGCAACGAACATTAAATTAACATGTCTTGGCTTGTGTCTCTTTAAAATTTCAGTTCAAATTGATAGAAATATCTTAATTGTTGAAGTCATTCACGTACTTATAATCAATATAATTATTTCTAAAACTGTTTGTGAAAACATTCCGAGTATTCAAGCTATTAAAAGCATATTATATGATGTTAGTTTTTATCTCCAGCCTTATAGTGATGAACTAGTAGATAAAAAACAAACATTCCCTACTTCACAAGCATGTTTTTCATGTTTACTTTATGGATTTAATGGTGTACTAAAATAGTAGCAGTCGGTAAAGAGAGCCAACAACGTACGTACAATCAAGTGTAAGCCCTTTAGAAATGATCTTGAAAGCAAAGCTATGACAAGAGAATGAAAAAAGGCACAAATTCCATCTAGAAAAAGTGGGATTTCTTTTGCATCAGCTCCTGTTAGTCTCACATCCAATAGACAATGTTGAAAGGGGACTATGTTCTAAGCTTTATTCTTATTAAGTATATTATAATTTTATTTATGCCACAAGAAATAAAACTGATCAAAAATCGCGTATTTATTTGCTCAAAACATTAACCCTCCGTCACAAAAATTATTAAGACCGTATTTTTTAAAAATTATTTGACTATCAGCGCGTACTCCTAAGTAATATTAAAGTGAATCAATTCTTAGATCCTTATTCTTGCCAGTTAAACGACGAGTTCTGTGCGACTTAGATTATAAAACGTAAAAAAGTATCGCGGCTTTCGCCCCAAAGGCTCGAGTAAAATTAATTAAGAACTGTTCAAGACTCAAAAGTAGCCAACCTAAATTTCATAGTCTATAACGATTTCTCTTTGTAATAAAAAGTGCTGTCAATATCGTGTTGTTAGAGGTGGGAAGCCCTGAGGGGTGGTTCCTGTAGTGGCTCCATACCGATCACTGAATCACTTGAACCAAATAAACCATGCTACCGATATAATTGTTGTCAGTTTGGGTCACTCGGACGCAGGTAGCGCATGCCAGAATTCTTCCTGACATTTTTAGTTTTGATTGCTGTGTCTTCAACTTGTGAATTGAGGCAATAATTATTTTCTTCATGGAAATTGACCGATAACGGAAATCAGTTTTTCAAGGAAGGCTGCGAGACAACCGTACGTGTGTCATCAGCGCATTCAAGTCTTTAATAGCAAAACCACTTCTTGTTTTCGATTCTAAACTGTTTCCTTGCGGCTAAATAGCAATCTTGTATAAAATTGTAGATTTATAATCTATCCGATTTAACCAGATAATTTCAACCCCCAAACTTAAAGACCCTCTAATCTTGTTATTCGTATCCAAAATGACAAACTTTTACAAGATTTTGTTAAACCAATACCAGCTCTCATTCACCACTAAGATTTTAATTCCAAAATCTGAAGGACGCTAAAACTAATCTTGATATTTTTTTATGTTGTTCAGGTTTGGTTTCAAAATCGCCGAGCCAAATGGAAGAAGCGCAAGAAGACAGCGTCAATTCTTCGACCTCCCGCGCCTATCCTTCCATCCCACATGGCTCAAAGCTACAATCCAGGATCTATCGGAGATTCATTATGTTCTTTTCACAATGACCACCGCTGGCCACCAACAGTGACAGCAGCAATGCCAACAATGGCCCAGGGTCCTTCACCGTCGCTCTCTTTGTCACCACCACACCATTCGTTTACTCAATCCCATGATGTTTTGCCGCAGTCGTACCCTCTACAATCACCGCTCCAGCGGTCACACATTGGAATGGCAATCCAGCAACAGAGTAATCCACAATCACAGCCTAGTTATCAGCAATCGTATGCAACGCGGGAAATGACGATTTCTTCTTCGCCTACGCTGCAGGACATACAGTGCAACATCAATGGGGGTGAGCAATGGCGCGGCACAAGCATCGCGAGTTTGCGCAGAAAAGCCTTTGAACATGTTAAAGGCATGCATTACATACCGATAGACAACATCTAGTCTTTTAACTACCGTGGGTTATAAGCTTAATGAGTCTGCATGGTATTCAGTTGAATTCGATAAAAATTCTCCTAAAAAAATTACATGGTTGCTATAGCAACATAGAATCTCAAAGTTGCTATAGCAACTGTAAATTTGATATTGCTCATGTTATGCAGACAGCAGAGAAGGCTCAGGCTTCTTTTGTTTTGCTGGCATTCGTTATTGGCGTCTATATATGGCGTCTATATATGGCTAAATTTCCTTGCTTTATACTAGAAACCTCACACTCAGTAATACAACTCAGCATGGAATAAGCCCTTGAACACTGCAATTTACAGCAATAGACTTCCCACTGCAGCCTTAATTTCATTAACAATCCAGTTGAATCGTGTTTTGGGATTTCCATGTTAAAATACTCTTCTGTTTGTCCATAGGTGTTTCAGCCCGAGGATTATGGGCACGATTCTAACGCTGATTCAACGCGGAACAAGCTAAGGAACGCCTGAGTATCTCTCGTCTGTATTCAAATGAGCTTATCAAACGTCAAGCAAAGTCACCTGTCAATCAAACAGCGTTGCAAATTCTTCTAGTCTGTCTGATCTGATGCTGGGATGTCATTCTTTTCTCGGCCAGCTATCGACAGTAAACAAACAATATATATATATATATATATATATATATATATACTATAACTTTAGATGTGAACTTTTTTTAAATCTGAAAAAACGACGAACATCTTGTACGTAGTAAAAAATCATTTCATGTATTTATTAATTTTCTTTGAATTTATCAACAAATATTGGTGCAACATAACTGCTCTATGAACAAATATTATGTTTTCTTCCAAAGCATTGCTCTTTTTATTTTATTTTCAACTTTTAAAAAACACAACACTTTTTGAATCCTTGGAGCTGAAACATTTCAAGAGCTTTGAGAAAAATCTTTTTTGCGGATATCATGAACCAGCAAGCTTGGTGATGTGATGTGATATATGTGGGAAATGGTCAGTCAAAATCGTTTATTTTCTACTTGAGAGCATACTTATGACACAGATCGCTGCTATACTGTTGCGTACGATTTTCCACTTGATTCGTCTGATACTACCGCATCTAAAGTAAAAGAAAACCGCCTTAGCTATGAATATGAGTTTGTTAGACTCTAAATTTGAGATCATGAGAGGATTAATTCTTGATTCGATTCCCTGTGCGGTTTCTTTGAAACAAATCACGCAAAGAATCATGGTCTCTCGCGCAAAGGATTGTGATCTCTGTCGCAAAGGGTTGGGTTCTCACGCAAACGATTGAGGCCTCTGGTGCAAAATATTTCGGACTTATACGAAAAGGATTAATGGTTTTAGCGCAATTAGTCTTTCTTTGACGTCAAAGCGCAAAGGATTTTGGGATCTCTCGCAAAAAATAATGGCAATGCTTATAAATTAATGCATTTCTGTTCCAACAGTATTAATACTCGTAAAATGTCTGATAGCTATTAGAAATCTTAAATAATAAATAAATAAATAAAGTTGTATTATATTATTAGAAAAGTTAATATTTATCCGACCTTAGTCCATTGCAAAGGACTATAGATTCCATCGATCATGCGCAGTGAGCACTTACAAAGCTATTTGAAATCAAAAATAAGGTTCCAAGTTTACTATTATTTAACCAACACAAACAAATAAATTTTTTAATTTGACGAAGGGTMAACACCTGATTTTCAATCCTCCTTAACTTCTATATTTGGAATAAAATCCCAGCATACATATGGAGCATGCTTTGGTCAGCCATTTTAGTTTTACTATATTTAAAACTTAAGTTTTGTCCCTTATTTAAAACAGGTCACCTTTCAATTAAAAGTGCATTTTGTAATATAGCTAAGCCCAATATATGTAGTATTTAAGAATTTAGACTGGAAGATACATGTAAAATCGTATACAAAAAATAAATTATGACTTACTTCATATACCTGAACATTTTTTATTTTATATTTTGATTATGTTTGTTTGCTTGTTATTTTTTTAAATCGCTATCCCTTTCTTTCTCTCTCTCTCTCTCTCTCTCTCTCTCTGTAGCCTCTTTCCGGCTTTCTCTCTCTCTTTGTTCCCTTACCTTCTTCCCCACACGCATCGTAAACCCTTGCGCACGTCGAGGATGCCTCTTCAAGCTAACACATTCAATTATATATTTTAAAAGTTTTCCATTCATAACCAAATATTCTTCGCGAATTAACTTTAATCCCAACCTCCCCATCATAAAACAAAAAATGGCTAAGCGATAAACGTTTAAAAATGATTAAAACAGCAAGAAAACGGAAAGTATTAGTATTAGTATCTATTCTATGTATTGGAGTGCATATCACATATCGTGACCGAAAACGTTGCAAGAATTTTCACAAATTTGCACAAATTAGAGAGTTCAGTAGACCTCAGTAGAGTAAGTGCATACCATATATTTGTGAAAAAAGTGAACGAACAAATTTGTACAAATTAGTGCAAAGTTTTGTAGACCTAATTTTTACTGAGCCTTCTACACATTTTTGCAATTTCTTACTAAGTTTATTTACGGATATATCGTGGTACGCACTCTAGACATTCAAAAATTCTCGCGGATTTGTAGTTAACGTTTTCACGAATATATGTTATCAGAAGTTCATAGCTAGATAGTTATGAACTTCTGATGTTATGCATTCTAGTCTTCATTGTTATTTCATGAATGAAGTAAACCATTCCAGATCATAAAAATGCTCTATATAACTTTATTACTTTATACGCTATAGTCACGACATTTTCTTCGAAAGCCTAATTATAGATATTATGATTGCATAGATGTACATTTTGATAGTCATAAATGAAAAACCCATCACAATATCTTTCATTAAAATAAGACAGGATAATATCTTGCATGAAGTGCTGACCTAATTTGGAATAATCTCCGCATTCCGCTATTATAAATATTATAGATACTGAATAATTAATGCTGTTAAAGTATTATCGCATAATACTTAAGAGTCTATCGTATAATTCTTGCTATTTAAGTATATCTCATGAGCAGCCCTCTTAGATTATTTAAGCCTGCATAACAACGCAGAGCAAATGAGAATAAAAGCAAAAGCATTTTAAAAAGTTTGTTATTTGTTAGATTTTTTCTTCATAAATATATATGTATTACACTTTAGCAAAATATATTGAGTCACGCTCTTTAGAAAGTGCTACGAGTAGTTTGAAAATTTATGAAATTAGCTTCCAAGATAACAGAACGATTATAAGAGAAAATGGGACAGTTTTCATCGCTCGTACTAACGTTATCATCTTCCATTCTTCCCCACAGGAATATTTGAAAGAGGATGCATTCATACAGCCAGCATTAAACAAATTTTCCGCAAATACACTTGAGTGCCAAGTCAAGCATACTCTCAGTTCTGTAGAAGATTATTCGGGTCAGTCAATCTTTCCATAATCTAAACATACATAATATATAACTGTTACACAATCAACGCCCACTAAATATACATATATATATCTATGTATCGGGGTTATAGATTTTATCTGGGGGAAATACATGATAGCCATTAGAGGGGATCATTCGTAACCGTTTCGTTATTTGAAGCCAACAAGATGGTTAATCATATCCCAAACTTTGAGAAAAGCCTCGAAGAGTCATTAAAGACTTCGTATTCATCTGCAATCGTGTGTATAGTCACTTGAATAGAGGAGGTGCTTTCTTAATAGTCAATTAGTCTTGTGTGTCAATCAGAAGTGCTTTGATTTTTTTCACAAAACAATAGCCTAAAAAGGCCGACTGTCAAAAATGAATTGATTTATTGCTTAGACATAAGGTTTTGTACTTGCTTATGAACTTTACAATCCTGTTTCGTGGCTATAAACTCCAAGGTTAAAACTGAACAATCTTAGAGAAAGGAGTATTATATCGAGTCGCCTTTGTACAACTCTAGAATTCGTTTTGGCATTTTTCCAAAATCTGCTTTGCTCAAGTCCAATATTGGTGTGTTTGTTGTTTTTTGGCTACATTACATCTGCACATGTAAACAACTTTATCTTTGGACCATCACAACCAACTTTTCTAAGTTTCCTTAAAGTTTTCAAAGTTTTCTTAAGGATACCGGCTTTGCATGTCCCTAGTTCAGTCAGTGTCGCATTGAACAACATTCGTGACTTTTCGTCTAGACTTCAAGTGTTCTAGGCCTTATAGGCATGGTTCCGTGTCTACTTCTAGCGCATTCTGCACTTAAAGATAAAAAGTCTATCGCTAACATACTTATTAAATCAAGATAAGCGTAAGAAGCAGATCATCAAATTCTGAATTTACCATCTAAAACAGCCTGTCAAATGCCATAAAAATATTCAAAATCGCAAACGAATTGGCTAAGAATCTCATTCTGTGCTTCAGGTTAGGCAGGTTCGTGTCTAAGATTAGTTGGTGTGTTGGTTGTAGTTGTGGTTAAGTTAAGCTTAATTATTGAGTACATGACA